GCTTATAATCTTTGTTAGTTCATGGCAATATCAAGGCAATGGGAACATTCAAACAACCATTATAAATGGATTAATGCCTCTTTGTTTTCCGATGCACTTAAGGGATCAGGAAATCAATTGACTAAAATTTTGAATACATTATTACTTACTTTGTTACTTACGTACGCCTGTTACTCCCAATGGAGCATAGGCCGCCGACCAGCTTTCTCCAACCCACTCTGTCCTGGGCTTCCTTTTCTAGTTCTATCCAGTTCTTGTTCATTCTTCTCATGTGTCTCTATTTCTCGGCGTAATGTGTTCTTTGATCTTCTCCTTTGACCTTCAGGATTCCATGTGAAGGCTTGTCTTGTGACGCAATTAGCTGATTTCCTCAAGGTGTGCCCAATCCACTTCCAACGCTTCTTCCTGATTTCTTCCTCTGCTGGAATCTGGTTTGTTCTCTCCCACAGTAACTTATTGCTGATAGTGTCTGGCCATCGGATCCGAAGTATTTTGCGTAGATAGCTGTTGACGAACACTTGTATCTTGACATTTGTATTGGAAATTCTAACCTTGGTGTTGGTTGACAATTGTTTTGAGCTCCAGATGTTTTTCAGTTGTAAATATGCTGCTCTCGCTTTGCCGATCCGCGCCCTCACGTAAGTATCTAATCCACCGTGTTCATCAACGATGCTGCCCAGATATGTAAAGGTTTCCACATCCTCCAAAGCTTCTCCATCAAGTGTGATTCGATTGGTGCATATTGTATTGTATCGGAGAGTCTTGCATTTCTCTTTGTTTATATTGAGACCTACTGCTGCTGAGGCTGCTGCTACACTGGTCGTTTTCTCCTGCATTTGTTGTTGCGTTTGTGATAGAAGAGCCATATCATCCGCGAAGTCTAAATCGTCCAGCTGCATCCTGCCTGTCCACTGTATCCCGTGATTTCCTCCAGATGTTGACGTCTTCATGATCCAGTCGATGACCAGGAGAAAGAGAAAGGGTGAGAGTAAGCAACCTTGCCTAACACCGGTCTTTACTTGAAACGAGTCGGTGAGTTGTCCTCCGTGGACGATTTGGCAGTTTAGTCCATCATAGGAGTTCCGTATTATATTGACTATCTTCTCAGGCACGCCGTAGTGTCGAAGAAGCTTCCATACTGTCGTCCTGTCCACACTATCAAATGCCTTCTCGTATTCAATGAAGTTGATGTAGAGTGCTGAATTCCATTCGATTGACTGTTCCACAATGACACGTAGAGTTGCGATTTGATCTGTGCACGATCTATCCATACGAAATCCAGCTTGTTGATCTCGAAGTTGGGCGTCCACGGAATCCTTCATCCTGTTTAACAATACTCTGTTGAAGACTTTTCCTGGTATTGAGAGAAGAGTGATGCCTCTGTAGTTGTCGCACTTGCTCAGATCGCCTTTCTTTGGTATCTTGATCAGAAGTCCTTTTTTCCAGTCTATTGGTACTTGTTCTTCATCCCAAATCTTACTGAAGAGGATGTGGAGTATCTTGGCAGTTGCTGTTACATTTGCTTTCAGTGCCTCTGCCGGGATGTTGTCTGGTCCCGCTGCTTTGCCACTCTTGACTTGTCTAATGGCCATGCTGATCTCTTCAATTGTTGGTGGGCCAATATCGATTGGGAGGTCCGTGGGTGCTGCTTCGATGTTGGGTGGGTTCAGTGGAGCTGGTCGATTCAAGAGTTCTTTGAAGTGTTCTACCCACCTGTTTCGTTGTTCTTCAATGTCGGTGATTACTTTGCCTTCCTTGCCTTTCACTGATCTTTCTGGCTTCTGGTAATTTCCAGCAAGTTTCTCTGTTGTATCATACGGTTGCCTCATGTTTCCCTCTCCTTCAGCCTTTTCCGTTGTCATTGCTAAATCTTTCACATATTTACGTTTGTCGGTTCTGATGCTCCTCTTCGCTTGATTGTTTACTTCTGTGTATTTTGCTTGTACCTTGGCTTTTTCCGCTCTTGTTCGGCTGATATTGATTGCTGCCTTTTGTTCCTACTTTCTTCAATCCTATCCAGTGTATCAGCAGTGATCCATTCCTTGTGATGGTGCTTATTTTGGCCCAGAACCTCTTGACACGTTGAAACGATTGCCTCCTTGATACCTTTCCAGTTGCTCTCCATGGTAGTCCCCACTCCATTGAGTAGGTCATGAAAGGCCTGGAACCTGTTGCTGAGGGCTATGTTGAATTTGTTGAGTTTGTCAGCATCTCGAAGAAAGGCCGTATTACACTTTTGTGATGTTGTGCGCGCCGTTGTCCAGTGCTTCTTGAGTTTTAGTTTCATCTTGGCGACCAGCAAATGATGATCGGATGCTATATCAGCTCCTCTTCTGGTTCTCACATCCTCCATCGTCCTCCTGAACTTTTTGTTGATGCAGATATGGTCGATTTGATTCTGTGTAGTGTGATCCGGTGAAATCCAAGTGGCTTTGTGTATGTTTTTGTGTGGGAATATGGTGCCACCTATGACCAGTTTATTGAAGGCACATAGGTTTGCAAATCTCTCACCATTTTCGTTCCTTCCTCCCAGTCCATGTTGTCCCATGACGTCTTCGTATCCAGTGTTGTCCATTCCAACCTTAGCATTGAGATCTCCCATCAGAATTGTCAGGTCCTTGGTTGGGCACTTCTCGACGATCGACTGCAGCCTATCGTAGAATTGGTCTTTAGCGTCTCCACCGTAGTCATTGGTAGGCGCATAGCATTGGATGACGTTCATTGTAATGCCCTCTCTGTTTGTTCTGAAGGAGGCTTTGATGATCCTTGGTCCATGAGATTCCCATCCTATAAGTGCATTTTGTACTTTTCTGGACAGCATCAATGCAACTCCTTGTGTATGTGGGGCATTTTCTTCTTCATGATCGGAGTATAACAGAAGTTCTCCTGAAGACAGTCGTTGTTGTCCAACCTCCGCCAATGTGTCTCACTGATTCCAAGCACCTCCAGGTTGTATTTTCTCATTTCTGCAGCAATTTGGAAAACTTTTCCGGTCTCCCACATTGTTCGGACATTCCATGTACCTATAAAAATTGTCGCTCTGGTTGTAAGAAGGTGCATTGGCCTCATGACTTCCGAAGGAGCTCGGCTTTCATCATGAGACGTCATAATTATTCCTTCTACTCCCAGGGCAGAGTTTGAATGATTTTTCTGGTTAGCGTTTTTTTAGCAAGTTGATTTTCTACGGGATGGTGTCGCTAATTCCATGCCCAACCCTCCTCCTTTAGCCGGGCTTGGGACCGGCAGTAACCCCCAGAGGAGCTACAGGCGGAGTTAAAATTTTGAATACATTATAGTATTATCTTTATTCATCTTTACGCATATCTTTTACCACAAAACAATAGCTGGACGGATCAAGTAACTTTTTTAATTTGTTTCATAAACATACTTTTCACCAGTATTAAGTTTTATCAGATACAGAGGTAAGTTGAGTTGAACCTTTGTCATCCTTCTATTTTACAACTCAACAATCACATATATAAGTTGGTCTACCGACGTTTTAACTTCGTATTATATTATATGACATGGAATAATGCAGTTTCAGTGCCTAAAGGTTGATGTTTAGAAAATATAACATATTAGTTCAGCATCAAGTGCCTGAATGAATGAATTAACCTCTGTTTTATGTAAGTTGTTCCCAAAGTGTAGGTTGTGAGTTATATGTAGTTTTCTTTGTACGGCCGATAATCACTCCTTGCTGTTAGTACTGAAATTGGCCACTTTCATCTTAAAAATACCACATCCTGGGATCCATTGCTTACTATATTCAAGAAACATTTGATTAAAGACCACATATCAAGGCTATCTTCTGGGGGTCAGTGATGATTGATCAACAGGAAACTCCTAGCTTTTACTACGGCTACTTGTTTTTTATATATTTATAATAACCGGTTTTTTGTGGTGTTCTCAAAGTGATTCATATTTAACATGATTTTCTCTCAGAAGAAAGGAAATGGTGTTGATAAAGTGTATTCCACTTGCATTTTTATAACATTTAATACGAATAATTACGAGAAAAACATTTTCACTGGGCCTCTTTTGTGTTGAACAATTCACTTCTTTTTTCCGTAGACTCAGATCATGCTCTTGTCCGAGCACGTGTTTATCTGCGTCTTACTGGACGTAGAAAAGCCACAGCTAAAATCCTCTTAGAGTTCAAATTAATGATAAAAAAGTTAAGAATATATTTCAGGAACAAGTAGAGAAGAAGTTAGTCAACCATGAAAATGATATCTACCCTGAGGTCCACGTAATTATTGTAACCACTGGTTAGAGACTTTGAATGACATGGCTCAAAATCGTTTGCAATTGCGCACGTGCATTCATTCTTCTCATTCCCAGAAATTCTAAATTCCTCATAACATCTTGTTTTTGTTTCACTAATTTATATTTTCTTTCCAAATTAAATCTTCAATATCTAGTCTTTATTACTACTACTGATACTGATACTACCTCTACTATTCTGGGATTTGATTCGACAACCTCATCCCTCTGTGCTTGTGGGGTATGACATACCGATGTACATAGGTATAAGTACTAGGTTCTACGTTGTAGCTGACTGACTAACCTACTAATCTTCTATAGATCACACTATTGTTACATGTTCACTGTTATATATTTTAAACAGTAGACATTCAAAACCTACTCTTCTAAGCGTTGCTGGCTAAATAATAAATTAACACATTCATCTGGTATTTGGGTGTGAGCCATACGCTAAACGTAAGTACTGATGATACTTCTCGGTTGCCCAAATCGGAATCAGTGAACTAGGGTTCGAATCGTGGGCCTAGTTGGTCTGAAGTCTTTCGCCTTAACTACTAAACCACCGCAACACTTGCTGATGGGCTACACCAATCCCTTTTCAGTGTTACCTAATAGAGTTATTTCACTAAAAAATATATATAGTGAATTGTAATCTTCATGTTTATTAGATATTTACTTTTATTGAAGCATTAATGTTTGTTTGCTGTTTTTCTTTTGGTCATACATTCGTTAAACAGACATGTGTTCATCAACATAGAGATAATCTATCTGTTCATCAATTATCAACAGCTATTTCTGAAAGTCGTTCATTACTACGAAGTAATAATAATGGAAAATTATCATTAATTATGCCATTTAACAAAATCTTCCACAAACAGTCATCCATATCTCTAAGTACTACACCTATGTTACATGATTCAATCAATGAAAGAATCGATCGAAATCTATTCAATGGACGAAGTGATCATAAAAACATAACTGATAATCATGATACATTTCATCATTATAATCGACCGTATCCGCCAGTTTTATCGGAACGTAATAATTTAGCTTTTTCATTTGATGATACAGAAATTGATCTCCTTCAAAGTCAAACTATAAAGTTGACGAATAATAATAAAATTCAACAAAAACAAGAACATCACGATCGAGTATCGACAAACTGTTTACATTGGCTCCAGCTGCAGAACTCATCAAATAATTTTGGTAATAACGAAAATAATCAACATGCTAATAATAATCACACAAGCAGTAATCATTGTACTAAGCTGCAAAATAGTTTTAAATATTCTTGTCCACAATTATCTGATATTGCATCTATTAATCCAATCAACTTTAATGATGATGCTGCAGCTACTAGGAGCAGTATTAATCGTGAATGTCATCATGTCGGTAAAGGATATTGTCAACGTAGTGGTGGTAGTTATTTTTCTGTCCATCGATCAAATAATCATCATTCATGTTGTCTTGATAAAGACACAAAGAATGATACTGTTGTTGATATCGATGAGTGTGTCGTTAACGTTGATGAAGATGATGAGATATCTAATCTACCTGAAGCACCTCTACCGCCTTTATATAACAATTCATCTTATTGTGATATCATACAGGGACAAAGTGTATGTTGTCAACGAATTTATGATAATTTAATTGCTATCAATAATGGGGTTAATAATTGTGCTTCTGATAATGATAACGATAATTGCTGTTGTAGTACAGTAAGGCGTTCATCGCCATCAATGACAACACCAGCAACACCCACAGTTTGTTTCCCTCACCAACTATCTAACGAATACAGTGATAACAATAATATTAGCAATGTAGCAGAAATAGATAAAAAGGCGAGTGTCGATGAACAAACACTAGTTGACGGGGTTGGTACTGTAGTATTAGCCGTAGAAAGAGGCGATTCAACGTCATCTTTTGGAGAAAAAAAATTAGCACATATCAATGCTTGTAACAACCCACCTGTTCTGTTGAAAAAATCATTATCATCAGATATAAATCTTCCAGAAATAATCGATAAACCTAGTTCAATTATACCAAACAATACTACAGCCACTACTTCTACTAATGGTGATAATAATAATAATAATAGCTCGAAAGAACATGATGTAATGAGAAAGTTTAGGAACAAATCTCAAACGTTAATTTTATCAAGATTACCATCAACATCAACGTCATCCAAGATCTACTTACATTCAAGGCATGCTAGTCTACCAAATCCAAATACATGTAGTAATACTGTTATTATTGGTGATGGTATTAGCAGTCGTGAACATAGTTATGCTAACACTGGTGTTAATCATAGTCGACAAGAAAATCTGTCATTTCGTGTAAATAAAAAGATTCCATGTGATTATTTATGTAAGGTACATCGTAATCTTAGTAATTCTTCAGACAGAAAGAATTCTGATATGCTAGATATGATTACTGAGTATTCACCGTATTATAATTTGTCGACAAGTCCTCAGGTAAGTACATTTCAGTTCTATTCAAACCTCGATATCATGTTTACCTAATTGAAGTCAGGATTTTTAAGTGTTAACTTGTAAATTACTGAAATCAATTTCAATATATGATATTCCCAGGCAGATGGACAAAAAAGAAATCAAACGTAAGCTTGTTGCATATGTGTTTCAGGCGAATCGCCCCATCCCATGTTAAACCACGAAGAGAGGAAAAACAAAAGGGTGAAAATGACAATACTCATAGCGACAGAAAATCAAACAGTTTAGATGTAGTAAATAACTTCGTGAAACATAAAATATGGGATGATACGTTACTAAATATTTAATTGAAAATAATTACTTGGCCTACAGAAGTCGGTCGATTTTCAGTTACATCATTCGAAGTTTCTAATTTTAGTATTGCAGTATCCGAACCTGGTATCTTGCAACATGTATTACGGCTTAGATCGCCTTTCATCGGTTCCATCAAACTCATTCAGTGTTTCGAGCATACCTACTATTGAAAACTAAGTATATCGTATGCTAAATAACATGAATGAATATATAAGATAGATTTTCCGTACACGACTAGAAACATGGAATATTACTTGATGAATTGTTGGATCGATAACTTACTTGGCAGTAAACAGCAAAGCAATTGAGTGCAATAACTACTTATTGCTATAGTTTTATCAACTCTAGTTGGTTATTGTGTGGTGGATTCTCAACATGAATGTAATAGAAGTCGTTCTGTTTTTAACAGCTAGTGTCACCTATTCTCTGCTCGCACAAAAGAGTTGTGGAATCATCAAATTGTTTCTCTAACCTCCCTAGGTAACCTGTCCAAATAAGGATCATTAATTCATCTTAATATTTACATTCATCAACTGTTTTGAGGATCTTTACAAATGGTAGCATTACATTGTCCATTGACTTAGATTTGTTACTCATCACTACTCACAATGATAGGATAAAATTTTCATGAGTCTGCACTTTCTGGTTAGGGAACTAAGTTGTTTACAAAGATATGGCAATTAAAGAGTGTGCCAACATCGTGGAATGAGTTGGTAGTTGTCCCTATTTTTAAAAGGATTCACGTCGTTCCTGTTACAACTATCGGGGGAACGTCTAGTTCCGATTGCGTCCGAGCTATTGGCTTCCGTCATACTTTGTAGGTTCTACGAAACCCAAGAAAGATTGACTCGCGAGGAGCAGGCTGGTTTTCGTCTTGGTCGAGGATGGATTGATCATACCTTCATCCTTCGCCAAATGTTAGAACACTGACATAATTATCACAAGCCAACAATCCTAGTGTTTCTTGACATCATAACTACCTTCGATTCGTTGGACAGGACTGTTCTCCGGGATTATCTATTGAAGAAGGGTGTGCTTGAGAAATGTAATTTATCTTATATACAAACATCTCAAGCAGAGTGAGGGCATACAACCACCTCTTTCCATTGTTCCATTCAAGCAGTGGGGTTAGACAGGGTTGCCCAATCTCACCATTCCTCTTCAACTTTGCCATCGAGGACGTTCTGGAAACAGCTCTGATGGATGAAAGTAATCTCGGTGTGAATCTGTGGCCTAGAGAAAGACTTTTCGTCCTTGAGTATGCAGATGATATTGTCTTACTGTGAGATAATGCCCAAGCCATGCAATCCGCACTTAATCAGTTGTCAATTAGTGTCCTGATATATGGTATACGCTTAGCACTTTCCAAGTCCAAAACAACGTAAGGAGATGCAGTCCTACGATAGCCGGTGATCAACGATTGGTTCACACGCCATTTGTTCCTTCAGGATACTGGAACCTATGTGCACCATTGGTTTGGAATCAGGGTTTTCCAACTCCTCTAAGTGGACTCGCCGTGTCCGCTGGCCCACTTAAATCGCCGGACATTCACTTTCCGTCCTCTCAATTCCACAAACAGTACCATTGTCGAGAGAAGGAAGTGATAGAAATTCCTTGACAGTGGCTGTGTACGCGTGGCCATGTGAGAGCATTTCGGGAGGGGGGGCGGATTTACCCCCACTCAGCCATACCAGGAAATTTGGAGGCAAAGCGACTCGACGAGCATGGGATTTGAACCCACGCGGGTTAACCACAATGGTTAAGCAGTCCATTGCCTTAACCACTCGGCAGTTTTTCTCTATGCTTGTGAAACATGGTCTCTCCCAGTTGAGGATGTTAAACGACTATCTGTGTTTAATCATCGTTATCTCCGAAGGATTTTTGTCATCCAGTGGCAACACCATGTTAGTAATGCAGAGGTTCGGCATGGTGTGTTCAGGTATAACGACGATAATTCAATTGGTGTGGCTCATAGTCGTGTGCACGGATCTTTGATGTGTTAATAGGTTAAATTTCATATTAATTTAACTAATAAGTAACTAGTGATATTTCTTAAGTTTCATTCATTAACAGACTTTTTATTTTTTATGCCAGACTTTAACTCAAATCCAGTGTACTGGACTGTGCACTTCTCAGACAATTACTTCATCACTACCTGGAGAAAATAATCAAAAGTGTATTCACTCATCTAGTGTTTCGTGTTTACCTACTGCAAATTATCCCGTTTCAGGAGATAATATAAATCGTATGTCATATTGCAGTTCGTATTCAAAAGAATCACCTATTCAGCCTGCCCGTAATCAACCCTCACCATCAGTAGCATCATCGTCTGTAACAATAAGTACTAATATTTCTGTTACTACTAATAATAACACTGCTACTACTTCTCCCTCAATAGCAACATCTACCACCACCACTGTTCCACGTAGGACAGGTAATTTAGGCTGTCATAACAATTTTGAAAAGCCTACAAGTATGTTGCACTATGCGACATTGGATTTTGGTATCATCACTCCAGAAACATCCCAATACAGGAATGAAAGTTATTCCGATATGAATACTGTTCGTTGGAATAACAATATCCACGACATAGATAACACACATACTGGTTCCAGTCGCAATCAGAAAATTTGCAGTATCAACAACACTGTTACTAATGCCAATAATAATAATAGTCACAATAATCTCAATGATAGTTATTGTTCACGTATTTACGGTACTCTTACAGATACTTTACATTCACATTTAATAGAATCTCCTTGTCATAATCACTTTTCTGGACATACTTTATCTAGTAATAACAGTGCAAACTGTGAGGATATAATTCGTGATGAATCAGATGCTGATTTACCGTCAAATTACGTTGCTATCTGTCAGTTACAAACATTGGCAATGCGAGCTGTATTAAGTGCAACCACATAGTCATCCAATAAACCTTTATTGTTGCAATTCCACTACTTATTTGTCAACAAGTAGTTAAAAAGAAACAAGTGCAATTTCTACATCCCATGTTGTAGTTTATTTTTTTCTCTACAAAACAATGCATTTTATAATTTGTATACCATGACAGAATCTAAAATTTTGATTAATTGGATTAAGTTAGGCTTCCTTTTTTTTCAAATGAATGTATATTAAAATAAGACTATCTGACTGTCAATCTGTCTTCAATTTTCAAATACTGATCAATAATATGAAACTATTCATTTCAATTTGTAATAGGCAAAACATTACAAGTAAACAATTCATACATATTCCTAGATCTCAGTTTTTTTATTCTCTGCTAGGAAACCCACCCTTATTGATAACTATAATATTCCCAGTTATGCTTGGGTTATTTCTTGGTTTTTTTTTTAATCTTCTAGGTTATTTGTCGTTTATTTCTCATTATTATTTCATTGCATACATGCATGTATCCCTACTACTTCTTTTTTTTTTTAAAAAAAAACAAGCTTAGTATGTATCTGATCTGGTGTTCTTAATTTATTTGTTTTTACTCCTTCAAATGAAGGGAGAACTCGTAGTCAATTGTAGCTTAGTTATTCTTTATCTTTGTGACTTTTGATTTTTTTTTAAATTGTGAAAACAATCCAGTTGTATTAGATCCAATGTGCATTTATGTAATATTGAATTTTTTTTCCCCCTCAATTAAGTAACATTTCGGATATCAATTTCCAAAGATCTCTCCGTATATGATTTTCTTCTACAAATATATTATGAATTGATATATTGTCATTGAGTTTGTTAATAAGAATAATGTGAGCAACTATCTGAGATTTTTAGTTAAGATAGTCTGAAAATGCGTAACAATACGCGGTGTTCGTACTTTTATTCTTCTGTTATGCGATATTTTGCAATACACTGTTGCTTGATGGAATTCTGGATGCTTAGTAAACTCTTTCAACACCATTATTGTGTTAGAGAAGTTTTAAAATATGTAAATGCTTTATGAAGATATTTATTAATATTGTTAAAACTTCTAGTACTGCCAGAATTCTAATAAACAATGTGCTGATTTTAGGTATTCTTTTAATGTCGTAGTATGGTTCATAAGGTACATAAAAAGTCGGATGAATATTGCACTAAGTAATGTTTCCAGTATCCACTTTATTGACATTTTGAAGTACACGCCATCACATTAGGGATGGCCACTAATTTTTGACGTTTACCATGATCATCACTATGTAGATACTAAGCATGGATTTTTCAGATTAATTTGATTCTCACCTATGGAAACATATAATGTTGTTTCTCTACATAAAGTTGTTTTATTTTTAAACCTTACATCTTTTTAATCATTATCACTGTATGACTTTCCAGGTATTTCTTTATATCTAAACCTAACCAGATTTTAAACAGTTTTTACTTTGTGTGTATTTTTTATTATGCTATTTCGAACAAGTGTAGTATTCACAAGATTGACATACGCCTGTTACTCCCAATGGAGCACAGGCTGCCGAGCAGCATTCTCTAACTCACTCTGTCCTGAGCTTTCCTTTCCAGTTCTATCCAGTTGTTCATTCTTCTCATATCTGTTTCCATTCCTCGGCGTAATCGGTTCTTTGTTCTTCCTCTTCTCCTTGACCTTGAGGACTTCAAGTGACGGCTCGCTTTGTGACGTAGTTTGATGCTTTCCTCAATGTGTGTCCTATCCACTTCCAGCACGTCTTCCTGATTTCTTCCTCCACTGGAATCTGGTTTGTTCTCTCCCACAGTAGGTTGTTGCCGATAGAGTCTGGCCAACGGATTCGAAGTATTTCGCGTAGACAACTGTTGATAAACATTTGTATCTTCTGGATGATGGCTTTCCTAGTTCTCCACGTTTCCGCCCCCCATCCAGACGTTCTTCACTTGTAATAGATATGCTGCTCTTCCTTTGTCGATCCGCGCCTCCACTTCTGCCTAACACCGGTCTTTACTTCGAACGAGTCAGTGAGCTGTCCTCGATGCACGATTTCGCAGTTTAATCCACCATAGGAATTCCGTATGATATTTACTATCTTCTCAGGCACACTAGTGTCAAAGAAGTCTCCATAGTGTTATCCTGTCCACACTATCAAAATGCTTTTTCGTAGTCAATGAAGCTGAAGTAGAGTGATGAATTCCTTTCAATTGATTGTTCCACAATGATCCGTAGTGCTGCGATTTGGTCAATACACGATCGCACTTTAAGGAGCCCAACCTGTTGATCTCGAAGTTGGACGTCCACGGAGTCCTCCATTCTGTTTAACAAGATCCTGTTGAAAACTTTTACTTGTATTGAGAGAAGACTGATGCCTCTGTAATTCTCACACCTGCTGAGGTTGCCTTTCTTTGGTATCTTGATCAGGTGCCCTTTCCAGTCTGTTGGTACTTGTTCTTCATCCCAAATGATGCTGAAGAGAATGTGGAGTATCTTTACGGATACTGCTACGTCTGCTTTCAGTGCTTCTGCTGGAATGTTGTCTGATCCTGCTGCTTTGCCGCTCTTCATTTGTCTGGTGGACATGCTGGTGTCTATAATTGTTGACGGACCAACATTGATTAGGAGGTCCGTGGATGCTGCTTCGATGTCGGGTGGGTTTAGTGGGACTGGTCGATTTAAGAATTCCTTAAAGTGCTCTGCCCACCTGTTTCGCTGTTCTTCAATGTTGGTGATTACTTTGCCTTCCTTGATTTTCACTGGTCGTTCTAGTTGACGGTAATTTCCAGCGAGCTTCTTTGTTGTACCATACAACTGCTTCATGTTCCCTTCTCTTGCAGCCTTTTCCGCTGTTGTTGCTAGACCTTCCACATATTTACGTTTATGATTTACTATTTTCATCTTATGAAAATATGAATATACTGTGTTCACTGACCACTCCTTCTGAATAGTGACTACGGGTAATGAGAAATAAGAGATGCAGCTAATGAGATCCATCGCAGGTCAAAGCAGAAAATCTATTCGATTTACGAACACATCTATGCACAGGGTACATGTTTTGTTATCGCAAACAATTTTAAACGCTCTCAAAACATATACTAGTCTTACAAAACACAACAATTACTAATCTGACGTAAAAAGCACTACTGCATTTTTACGCATTAATAATAAAAATGTGTGCAAACGAAAAAAACAGTTCTTTCGTGTCAGCTTCGACGCTCAAATTAATGATGGGAAGAAGCTTATTTGGTCCGATCGATCAACTCACTTATCTTGAAAGTTTATACATCCCTCATCAGTTTATCTCGAGAGATTTGTCGGAACTGATCTAGAAATTTCACATGGTTCTTGCCAATCTGCATCATTTATTATGTGAGTGTGATTTCGCCTGATAGCCAAGCGACGAATGAAATACGGTCTATGGAGAGAGAAGGTACAAGCAGGTCGATAACTTTTGATTATATGTGGATTCAAAAAATGTTTTATGTACCGTGTAATAATGAGTGAGGAATTTTAAGGATGAACACGGCATTAGTAAAATATGGAGAGTCAGTTGACGAGGTTGTGGATCGCTATCTTCGGCGGAAGTTAGAACATGTTATGCGTATGGCAGATTACCGCCTTCCTCAATAGTTAGATGTCTTTCGGCATAAGAACATGTCGGAATAAAACTAGGAGTAGCTAATCAAAAATTTGGCACAAGTTTGTGAGGTTGCTGAGTCGTATTTGTAGGTACAAACTACATCGCTACGGTTCCTACAATTATTGTAACCAATGCTTGTGAATTAAGGCAATACGCACATATGCCAATAAGAAACTGATCGATTGCAGTCCTAAACATCATTTGGAAGATTCAAACAAATAATACCAAGTAAATTTATTGTAACCAATGTTTCAAGACTTCAATAACATGGTTCATAATCGGTCCAAATAGCGTAGATGCAATAGCTAATTGTCTATTCCTAGATCACGAATCTCAAAATAATCTCATAATTGTGTATGTCGTATATTCCTTTTTATTATCGAACTATATTTTCGTACCTAATCTGTTCTATTACTACCGATATTGTTACTGCATCTGCTATTCAATGATTTGGCCTGATAAATTCATCTCGCTGTGCTAGTGGAGTGTGATAATTTGGATCAATGTTCATACGTGACAGGTTCTACGTTGCATATAGCTAACTCTAGGTTGGTTTACTAGCAAACTTTAGTTCATTTTGAAATGGACCTATAATGATGGTCAATTTATCCTGAAGCTTTCTACTCATACTTCCAAACTAGTAGTACTGCTTCAGGGAACTATCAACAACTCGCAATGAACCGTGACATTGAACTAACATTTACGTAATATGTTTTTAATATATGTTTAAGCAAATAACATCTAAAACTTTGCGATATGAGCATTATCCAAAGATATTCAGCAGTGCTCAGAGGCGAATGCTTCAATTTTCATATTGCGGATATGTTCGCTGGTATTAATTGATTTGCTACAGTTACTTGTTTTTTTTGGTGGAAGACACCTACCACATAAATGCATCATGACTCTAGGGACGGATTTTGCACCCGTTTATCATGACTTAGGAGATTATCAGGATTTTTTTTCGAAAAAGCATTAATGTCTAATTGGAAACTCATAAAATATTTTCAGACACTTTGTGTAGTGAAACACTAGTATAATTAGTAAGTATAAACACCAAATACCGAGGCAACACAGAATAAGGAATCATTTACAAATGAAGCATCTGCACAGTTATCGTTATCAGAATCCCAATAGCAGCGGCGTGCCATGTTCACTCCTTGGCCTTTCTTTTCACCAATAATGACTTGGACCAAGTATCTGTAGCGTCGAAGTGACAGGCTTTTCCTTAATAAGCGTTTTATTTCATCAGCCAGGGAAATGCACTGTTCTGCAGACAACTGTAAAAAATATTTTATTCCGTACCATGAGTGTTCTCAGGAGAGTATACTTCCGTTTCCAGCCGTTCTTTTAGTAACTGGGAAATGATGTTCCTTACTGCCCATGGACGGAACTTCTGATCAAATCTTGGTTTTATAATATACGAATTAGAGTTTTCCTCACTGTTAGGAATTTGTTTTGAGAATTCCATTGAGTCAAAATACGCAAACCATTGTTGTCATACCAACCATTACATCGTTTCAATGCCCAACATTCTAGACATGAAGTTTGTTACGCGAAAATCGCTGATTCACCTGTCCTACCGAACATACACTTGTGCCTCATATACTTCGCTACGAAATTTTCTTCTACATCAATGACTATTTGTCCAACATCTATGAACATATATTTATCGCTTTCTTCTGAAAATTTTATGTGATTTATTTTGTATAGCAGTATCAACCTGCAAGGACCAGCTGTTTTTAAAGTGCATTTTTTGGACACTAACTGCACTTTGCCCTTAATCAAAGTGAACAAGTGGCGTCGAAAAATTAACAAGTAAGCATTCGGATAACCATTTCCAATTCCTCCACACTTTACATGTCTGTTTCCAGTTCCTGAAGTAGTGTGTTCTTCGGCTCTCCTCTTTTCCGCTTCACTTCAGGATTCTAAATTAGCTCTTGTCTCGTGATGTAGTTTGATGATTTCATCAATGCATGTCTTATCCACTTTCAACGTCTTTTCATAATTTCCTGTTCAGTTGGAAGCCGGTTTGTCCTCTCTCACAGTGAGCTGTTTCTGACGGTTTCCTGCTAATGGATATTGAGTATCTTGGTAGACAATTGTTTATAAATACGTGTACATTTTTGATGAAGGTGGTAGTAGTTCTCAAAATTTCAGCTCTGTACAGCCGGAACCGTCTTGACGTTCGTAGTGACTATATTCTCAGGCACACCTTAGTGTCGCAAAAGCCTCCATACTGTTGTCCTGTCCACACTATCAAATGCTTTCTCGTAGTCAATGAAGTTGATGTAGAGTTATGAATTCCATTCAATTGATTGTTCAATTGATTGCGATTTGATCTGTACGCGATCGATCCTTCCGAAATCCAGCCTGCTGATCTCAACGATCGACTGCAGCCTACCGTAGAATTGGTCTTTAGCGTCTTCATCGTAGTCATTGGTAGGCGCATAGCATTGGATGACGTTCATTGTAATGCCCTCTCTGTTTGTTCTGAAGGAGGCTTTGATGACCCTTGGTCCATGAGATTCCCATCCTATAAGTGCATTTTGTGCTTTTCTGGACAGCATCAATGCAACTCCTTGTGTATGTGGGGCATTTTCTTCTTCATGATCGAAGTATAACAGAAGTTCTCCTGAAGACAGTCGTTGTTGTCCAACCTGCGTCCAATGTGTCTCACTGATTCCAAGCACCTCCAGGTTGTATTTTCTCATTTCTGCAGCAATTTGGAAAACTTTTCCGGTCTCACACATTGTTCGGACATTCCATGTACCTATAAAAATTGTCGCTCTGGTTGTAAGAAGGTGCATTGGCCTCATGACTTCCGAAGGAGCTCGGCTTTCATCATGAGACGTCATAATTATTCCTTCTACTCCCAGGGCAGAGTTTGAATGATTTTTTCTGGTTAGCGTTTTTTTAGCGAGTTGATTTTCGAAGGTATGGAATTGCTAACATCATGCCCAACCCTCCTCCTTTAGCCGGGCTTGGGACCGACAGTAGCCCTCATAGGAGCTACAGGCGCAGTTTGCGAGACTTTTATCAGTTACTGATAACACATGTGGGCTATGGTAATCCAAACACTTATTAGATCTTTTCGTAGAGCGATTCACTGAGAAGGCTGGAGTCACTTCGGCCGAAAAAGCATATTCCAAAAGGACTAATTCTAAACCGTTCCACAATACTCATTTTTGGAGCTCGACTGACTCGCTTCCATTTTTATGGATGCTCTTATAACAAGGATTTATTCTCAAATAACAGTTTTTGTCATACAAAGGATTTTAATTTACATAAATGTTCAAATTTCTACATGTGCCACAGGATTCACTGTTTTCGTTTACTCCGTTGTTATGATTTGCCCCTTGTGGGGGTTTTACCTTATTTGCTGTAATTTAAGTAGAATAAGCGGGGTCATCTGGCTGCGGTTCCTACTTCGAAAGCCTCTGTAAGCTGTCCTCCATGCGTGAATGTTATAGCTGATGCTAATATCTATAAACACGTTTTCGGTACATTTCTTATGCCCTCAACTATCCCTTCTCCTGCCTTCTGATTTGTGACTATGGGGTTTCCATACATCCTAGTGCCGTTAGTTGTATTTTATATTCTGCGTTAATCACATAGTGAACATACCACTACTAAGTTTATCTTTACAAACAGTGCCATTGATTGTTACTGTTAGCTGGGTCTGTAAAATGAATGATCTGACTTTGGCGTAAGATCTTTCGGTTTAGTCATATCATGTCAAATCTATAATATTACACTACGTCTATTAGTCTAGTCACGTACATAACTTCAATAATACCGGTATTCAACCCGTGTTATGCAATTTTCTTGTGGTCTCTCTTACCACGATTTATCGAATTTAATAATAATATTCAATTACAGTCTAACCAATGGCCTTCTCCTATATCTCCAAAGCGTAGTCTAACGTATTGTGGGGAGGGTGTATATTTTGCGGAATAAGGTTTATCTAAGATGACACCCTTGCCAATTGGGATGTAGTATTCATCCAACTACTGTTTATTTAATTCTTTTCTATTTTTCTCTCGACTACTACCTTACACTGGGATATTACCGAAGAATAATGAGTTTCACTTACCATCCAATACTCTTCCCCAATTACGACATAGCGGGCGCTAGGTAACAGTCCCTAACCACTCTTTATTATTGTTTTTGGTTGATATATATATATATATAGCAGTTGTTTGTGTAAATCACCAGCGTAGATGATCTGCGTCGAATGATTGGGAACCTACTCTAGTTAGGCGGTAACGGTGTGGCTAAAAGCTAACTTTGAATTCAAACCTAGTGGTCAAAATCTAACGTTGACTACCTTTTTTTGTTTCGAGGTACATGTAAAGTGAGATCGATAAACGAACACACCAGTGATAGGGTGAAACGCTCACCATCACATTAACTTTCTTTGACCTTGTATGACTATGTCTTGTTTTTCTATCAACCACAATTTTACGTTGACTCTAAAACAATATTCGCCTTGTTGACTCATTTTTCCCATCCTTTAGTTACTGTTTGGTATGTTATTTATGTATCTCTTTTTCCCTATGTAATAGACTGTACTGTTTATTTGTATACTAACGATGTTAATTTACGTTCTTAGAAACACATAAAGTATATTAGGCTAAACAGCCTACTTTTTTGACTTTGGCGAAACCAAGACTCTGTGCTCGACGGTCTAGAGAATAGCTTAGAGTTGCGCCTGCAGGAAATTTCTTCCTACTGTACTGTGGATGCTCTGAAGAATATATAACACAAAGAAAGTTATTTTAGCGATGTATAAGTATGAGTGCGTACAAGGGGGAAGTTGCGACCACCATCGCATGTGCCAGTTCATGAAATGTAGTTGATTGTAGCACGTTCGCTGTCCCTGACCTAGGGGAGGATTGATGATTTGTTCAGTAGCCTAACTGCAGGATGATTTGTTTGGGGTTCACTGGCCCTACTTTTTTTTCGGTCATTCCACCCTTTATGTGCTGTGACTACGGCTTTCTTGGTCCAGCTTTCGGTTGATTTGAAGAGTTTTGTAGGATGTAGCAAACAGGTCACCAACCCGTCCTACCCCATCACGCCTTCTCCAGTGGAACTTAAGAATGGATCATCCCTCTCCACTCCAACGACCACCACAACGCTCGATCGAGGATCATTGATTAATTATAAAGAATCATCCGCAAATTTCAGTTGCGTGAACAGTGGAAAAAATAACTTTTCAATCATCAGGTTAGTTGGTGATTAAGCCAATTTCATAAGCCTTCACAGCTTTAAATTGGTTTATTTAATTCACACTCTCCCGGCAATAAGATGACTAATCCTATGTCTCTATTTTAATCGGCGAATCCATATTGCATTCTCATTACCGAAACCTCGTGTACTGATATTCCTGATTTAACGCTGTGTGTGAATGGTTACGAAATGTAATGTGAAGATAGAAATTCAAGCAAAGGTGGAGGCTGGACAACGTATATCCGATATGATGTTCTGTCCAACATGATCTTTTCCGAGGGTTGTGAACTGTCAGTAGATGCTATATTCATCACTATAAATAATGATGCTCATCAGCTTTTCATAATAGATCGCATCTGTCGACCACTAAGTGCCGCTCATGCAATGGATACACATTTCAATCATGTATTCACTTGCTTAGCTTTATTACTCGTGACTAAATTAATAGGTGGTGATTTCATTATGCCGTCTGTAAATTGGAATCTTTTACATATTCCTTCCTATTTTCAAGATTTATTTAAGTACTGAAAACAAACGGTCGAATACAAATGATCAACAAGCCCACCAGAAATATCAACCTATTTTGACCTAATTTTCATACACACTGCATAAGCATATACTGAATACACTAGACTTGAACTTTCAGGAAGTGATCACAACGTTGCGACCTGTCAACACATCGCGCGAAAACGCTCTTCTACTTCCGATGAGACAAAATTTCTCATAGATTCCATAAGAAACTTCGGAAATGCCAAACGGTCGTTCTCCGCAATTTTTCTACTTGTCCTCGGTTGGGATAAGCTGTTTTCTTCTAATGACGTTGATACTACACTAGATTTTCATTATTTTGATCGCAAGACATGTCTGAACTTAGTCACTCTAATTGTAACAAAAAGGTCATACGTCCCTTATTTTGATTACATTCGTATCAAACGCAGATCTAAAGTGATCAGTTTGCGAAAAAGTTTTTCTGTTCAACATGAATTCTCAGCTACTCTCAACATCCAATTAGTACTTACCAATATTAGCTGCTTTTGACAGATAGAGGAATTAAAAGCGGAATGATGGTTTTCCAATTTACAAAACAAAAATAGCTTTTAAACAGCTACTCGAAAGAGCAAACTTTGTATGCAATTACAAATTCAGACTGTCCTAAAAGTTAGTGATGTAACTATAAGAGACCCAACAGAACTGTGTGAACTACCTAGCAAAACATTTGCCCAGGCACTCATCAAT